CCTCTGTGCCTCATTCTGTGCATCAGCTGCTTTGGGGACTCTCAATAGTCATTAAAGGGACAGCTAACAATCCCTGTAGGAGCAGAAGGGCTTCCCTCCAGATTTTCCAGCGAGCAGCTGACAGCAGCAGAAGACAAAAGAACATCCATCGAGTTCTGAAGTAGGGAACAATATACTTAGGGAAGAAAAGGGCTTATTTAAGTCTCTAAATATTTTCCAAAATTTCTTAAGCTTTGAAGAATGTTTCTCATACCTAGATATACCCACCTGGTGCATGCATGCTCATGCCAGCACACACATATACACATATGCCAGCACACATGTATACACATAAAAGCAATAAGTAAGTAAAAAAGAAGGGAGAAGCTGATGATTGCCGGGCAGTGGTGGCGCACGCCTTTAATCCCAGCACTTGGGAGGCAGAGGCAGAGGCAGGCGGATTTCTGAGTTCGAAAGTTCGAGGCCAGCCTGGTCTACAGAGTGAGTTCCAGGACAGCCAGGGCTACACAGAGAAAACCTGTCTAGAAAAAACAAAAAAAAAACAAAAAAAAAAAAAAAAGAAGAAGAAGAAGCTGATGATTTAGAAACACAACTGCTGGAGAGGAAATAGAGACAGGGGGGTTCTCTTCAGAACACAGGTCGAATTCTGGTGATCACAGGGGCATTACCCATGTCCAAGGGGGCACCCCAAATCAATTAGGTTAGTTTCTGTGCAATAATGCCCAAATGAGGGTAACTCTCAAAAGTTCACGCAGTGACCCCGAGTGCAAATGCTGACACAAGCTACTAACCTGAAAGGTGGGTTATGCAGTGACCCTGAGTGTAGGGCTCGCTGATACAGAGCTACTGAACTGGCCTATAATGAGCACCCTTTAGCAGCAGACTCTCAATCACAACTGCTGCAGGAATCTCTGGGATATATGAACCCACGTGTCAATTTGAAAGTCCTCACCGAAGAACGAAGATCTAGCCAGGTGGAACAGGCCTTCAGTCACAGCACTGGGTAGGGAGGGAGGCATATCTCTGTGAGTTCAAGGCCAGTTTGGCCTACAGAGCTAGTTTCAGGACAACCAGGAATGCACAAAGATACCTTGTCTCAAAAAAAAAAAAGAGAGGGGGAAGAAATGAAGACCTATATTAAGAGATAACTCTAAGACAGATCCAGATCTAATTTAAATATGCAATGATGATTATGATAATTTTAATATTTGAATTTTAGTAATGTCCTGAGTTTCAGCTATTATTGTTTCTTTTCTCAGAAAACTAAATTGAGTAACTTTAAGAGCAACATTCATAGAATAGGGTCATTTTTATTGAGTTTTCATCTATTTGCATTGATGAAAATGTTTACCAGATTTTATTTATGACTGTGGAGGAGAGAGGAGGTACTCTTTGGATCTTCCATTTTTTACTTTATGCTTCTGAAATTCTCAAAAATACATTTTTTTTTCTAAAAGAACTAGTACTATAAGTACTAGTAGCTAATGGAAAGAAAATCCTGGGACTAGGGATGAAGCTCAATGGTAGAGCATTTGCTTCTCATGAGCCAAAGCATGGACTCTGAGTTTGGTTTCTAGCACTGGGGGTGGGGGTGGGGCTGCAATTTATAAATTTAAGTAGAATACAGCAATGTCCTTTCCCACTGGCCAAGTTCAGAAAGACAGGAAAACAAGGACACTGCAGTGTTTTCCAAGCATGGTCCTGTATGCCTCAAGCCCAGCACTCAGAAGACAGTGCAGGTAGACCACTGTGAATCCAGTCTAGCCTTGTTTAATAAGGTCCAGAGCAGCTAGGGCTACATAATAAACTCTGCCTGAGAGAGAGTGGGGGTGGAGGGAAGAGAGAGAGGGAAAGGGAGAGGGAGAGGGAGAGGAAGTGAAGGGGAGGATCAAGAGAAAGAGAGAGGGGGAGGAAGAGGGAGAGGAGAGGGAGAGGAGAGGGAGAGGAGAGGGAGTGAGAAGGGAAGAGAGGGGGAGGAGAGGGGGAGGAGAGGGAGAAGGAGGGGATAAACTCAACAGTCACTCAGAAAAAACATCATTTTTCAGTGGATATGTTTACTGAGAAATCTAAATTAGATATGAGGAAGTTGCTTGGTTTTTAAAGGATTTGAGAAAAGGAAATTAGTCTAATATTTAGGAAAAAAATAATTTGGAATTATCACTGACTAGGAATTGTCCCCTGATGGAGTAACTGTTTTGTGTAAAGAACTTTTCTCTTGAGCTAAAGAAACAATGGAGAGGTTGGGGCACCCGTTGCTCTGCCAGAGGAGCAGAGACCAGCACCCATGACAAGGGACTTACTGCTCCAGGAGACCCACTACTTTCTTCTGACCTCCTTGGGCATTGACATCATATAAGCATAAACACACACACCCCACATACTTAAAATAAACCTTTAAATGAACTGTTCTCAACTCCATCTTCCCTTCCTAAATGTTTATTATAAGGTACAGGTCCTCAAGATTGTGACTGCACTGCTTTTTTTTGAAATCACAAAGGCAAAACACTCATTATTCATGATGACTGCAGTAACAGAAGTTGGACTCTAGGGGCTGCAGAAATGGCTAAGCAGGCAAGAGCACTTACTCTTCTTGCAGATGGGGAGCTGTGCTCCCAGCACTCACATGGTGCCTCACATCTGTAACTTCAGGTCCAGAGGATCTAGCACCCTCTTCTGGCCTTCTAGGGCACTATACCCGGAGGGTGCCTAGTTAAACATGAAGGCAAAACATCCATATGCATTAAAATAAATAATTTTTTTAAAGTTGGCTCTCACCCCTAAGACTTTGGTTTGTTCTACTTGGAGAGGACTTGTGCCTTCTGTATTTTAAATACATATTAGTTTTTCTCAAAAGTGTATCAAGTATAAAAGGTAAGTGTGATCCAAAGTAGTAGTCTATGAATTTTTTTTAGACTAATGAATCTGTTACCTTGTATGCTAACAATACATGCCATCATCCCCTGCATTTGGGGATGTAGAGGCAGAGAAATCAGGAATTCAAGGTCATCTTCCACCTTATATCAAGTTTGAGGCCAGCCTGAGTTTTGTAGTTAGGGTTTCCATTGCTGTGAACAGACACCATGACCAAGTCAACTCTTATAACATTTAATTGAGGCTGGCTTACAGGTTCAGTCCAGTATCATTAAGGCAAGAAATATGACAGCCTCCAGGCAGGTATGGTGCAGGAGGAGATGAGGGTTCTACATCTCATTCCAAAAGAAAACAGAAGACTGTCTCACTGGCTGCTAGGAGGAGGGTCTCATTGCTCACCCCCACAGTGACACACTTCCTCCAACAAGACCACACCTCCTAATAGTGCCACTCCCAGGGCCAAGCATATTCAAACCACCACATTGAGCTACAAGAAACCTTATCTCAAAGAGAACAGGCAGAAAAGATTTTGTTTTGTTTTTATTGGATATTTTCTTTATTTACATTTCAAATGTTATCCCCCTTCCCAGTTTTCACTCCCCCACCAAAACTCCTATCCCATCTCCCCTCCAGTGGCTTCTATGAGGGTGTTCTCCCATCCACCCACCCACTCCTGCCTCCCCGCTCTCAAATTCCCCTATACTGGGGCATTGAGCCTTCACAGAATCAAGGGCCTCTTCTCCCATTGATGCCCAATGAGGCCATCCTCTGCCACATATTCGGCTGGAGCCATGGGTCCCTCCATGTATATGTACTCTTTGGTTCCTGCTGTGAGTGCCAAACTTGGGTCCTCCTGAAGGGTGGCAAACATCCTTTCCAGCTGAGCTGTGGGACTGCGTAAGGGTATCCTGGGTCATGGTAGAGCAGGTGTCTAGAACCCCGAGACTCTGTAGATTCTAGGTGAGATTCTACATGAGAACCAGCAGGAGTTCGATGCCCCCCAGAACCCAGGATCCTGAAAAGCAGTCATGGTCTCCATAGAATTACATAGGCCAGGCTATAGGTCTCAGGCCCTAGGGATTTACATACTAATGAAGGCCAGAGGGCAGAGCAAATTAAACATGCCTCCCTTAGATCTTCCCCCAATCCTGCCCCTTTCTCCCTCCCTATATAACTCGGGACTGCCCTGAGTTTTTGGGGGGTATGCCTAGATCCATCTATTATCCGCCATGACAATAAACCTTTTTGGAACCAAGGACTTCCTCGTGTTACTGGGGCCTGTCGCCACCAAGGCCCCCAGGCCACTGGAACCATAGAGTTTCCCCAGAATGTGGGACCCTCCACGGTGGTGGAAGCCCCTCCGGGCCGTGCCGCTGTGGTGGCCTTTTAAAAATTTCCCCACACTGAGCTACCTCAGAGGCCCTGCTGATCTCCTCCAATGCCAACACTTTCTTTACTTGAATATGTTTTGTTTGGTTGTTTGGTTGTTTTGAGACAGGGCCTCACTATGTAGTGCAGTGTCAAAAATCCTCCTGCCTCAGCCTCTGGAATGATGAGATTTCAGATGTATGGCACCATCCCTGGATTCTTCTTGAACAACTAGCAAAGATAAGCCCTCAAAAGCATTTACCAAATTAGATCAGAAGGCATATAAATACAACTGATGGGATGTAATTTCTATTCTGCATACATTCTCATAACTCAAATATTTCTTAATGGGGGGACAAAGCTCAGTGGGTAGAGAACTTACTTAGCACACACAGAGATTTGGGTTCAAAATTCAGTATCATTTTTATTTTAAAAGGAAAATCATCCCATTTTAATAATAAAATATTCATTTTCAATTTTAAAAAGTAAAATCAAAATAACATAAAAGTTCAATGCCATCTTAACAAAATACAAGCCATTCCATGTATAACATAAAATATTTATTTGCTATTTACATTTCATTTGTATGTATATCATATCACATATCAAAAAAGTGAAAGGAAAAAAAGAGAAACCAGGCAAGTGTGCACCATAAACCCAGGGAAGAAACACAGCAAGTGCGCACTATCAACCCAGGGAAGAAACACAGCAAGTGCGCACCATCAAGCCAGAGGAGAAAGCATCACATGGTTTGGAACCCATTAGCAGTCTCGAAGATCTCGTTTCTTGCCTCTCTTCAGTTTCTTGTTTGTTTCCTGGCGAATAGTGTCATACTCCAGTATGGCCATTCTGGAAAGCCTCTGTAAGAAGTCAGAGGGAGCTCCTGTGAAAGGGTCATTGAAGACAGAGCCTGTGGGGAAGAAAGCCAACTGTTAGAGCTCAGCTCAGAAGGACTGGTGATATCTGCGAGGCATGACACACGGCACCACCGATGGCCATAAGACATTATCGAATCTTTGCTTACATATCTTGAACTTACCAAAAAGGCCAATGCTAATATACCTAAAAAATGGCAAACTTTTGAGTATATGTCTCAAGAAACTCTACCACTAACTTTGGGTAAAGTTACTTCAGGAAAATGCTAAGAGTTTAACATAGGGCTCAGATATCATTAGATATGTGTTTTCTGTCACATGCAGTATACAACGCCTCCAACATAATATCCTCCAAATCTAACAAGTGCAGTAACGGAGAGGCAGTAAACGTAGATACCAGAATTCCTAGAACGCTCTCTGTATCTTATAGGTGTCGTTAAGTTACCTGATTCAGCAGAGTTTTTAATGTTTGCTCTCAAAAAACAAAATCCTGATCAAGCATATCAGAAGTGAGGAGTTGGGAATATCTAATTTTAAAGCTTCAAAGGACAGACTCTCCCTCCAAGCATGATAGAACTACTCAATGGTGCTTAGAAAAGAAACTGACTTAATAGTCAGTTTGTGCCAGGCAGTGGTGGCTCATGCCTTTAATCCCAGCACTTGGGAGGCAGAGGCAGGTGGATTTCTGAGTTCGAGGCCAGCCTGGTCTACAGAGTGAGTTCCAGGACAGCTAGGGCTATACAGAGAAACCCTGTCTTGAAAAACAAAAACAAAAAACAAAAAACAAAAAACAAAAAACAAAAAAACAAAAAAAGAATGAGAGGCCAGGACTCAGGACTGGAGATATGGCTCCGTGGTTAAGAGCATTCATTCACTGCTTCTCCCAAAGTCTTGAGTTCAATTCTCAACCCCCTCATGGTGGCTCACCACTGTTTGTCTTTTGCTGTGTAGATGTACATGCAGACAAAGTACCCATATACATAAGATACATAAATAAAAAAATCTTAAAAAGGAGAAGGTGGAGAAGGGGGAGGAGGAGGAGGCTGGAAAGATGGCTCAGCAGTTTAGAACCCTGTCTGTTCTTCCAGAGGACCCAGGTTGATTCCCAGCATTCACGTGGAAACTCACAACTTGTCTGTAACTCCAGTTCCGGGGTTCTGATGTCCTCTTCTGGCCTCTGAGTGTACTAAACACACATGGTGCATAGTACTACAGCACAAAATACATGTAAGCAAAGGCACCAAACACGTAAAATAATAGATTTTAAAAGAAGATAATGATAGAATGGAACATTCAGGAAGGGTGGTAAAGGGTTCGGCTAAGTTCTCATTTGAGTCTGTGCTGCTGAGGAGGAGCCTCTTTTAATAGGCGATAGTGTGCATAGAGGTGGAGAATGAATGCAGAGATTTAAACTAAGGAAGCCAGTTTCAAGGCTTCTAAGGCACCCAAGAGAGCTATGCTGGAGGCCTGGCCTTGGTTCTGAGAGGACAGAAGTGGGTATAATGAACCTCAGACTCATCAAATTTACCAACTAAGCAGAGCTTAGCAGAAACATTAACAAGCTAGGCAGGGGGCTTGGGCACATAATGGCAGCTCCCAGAAGTCTGGGGCAGGGGATTACTGTGAGTTCAAAGCCATCCTTGCCACATAGTAAAATCCTATTGGAAAAATCAAAGGTGCGGGAAGAAACCCATGAAGCCATGACATACCTTTCGACTTCTCCTGAAGTGCTGCCATGCTGCATGACTCTTTGGTCTTCTTTATCCTAAACATTATGGGTGGTCACAAAATGGCACATGTCAACCCTCAGCCTGTGACTTTGAAGAATACAACAAGAGGCAAACAGCATAGTCTCAGTGATGCTCCCTCGGCTTTTTATGTTTTGTTTTGCTTTGTTTGCTCCTGTGCTGGGAAACACTCGCACGCTCTTGCGTGGCATGTGACGTGTTCTACCAAAACTCACCTTGTTAAATGATGTCACATAAGGATAACAATAAGTGTACAGAAGAGAACTAGCTCTATCATAATCAAAAGAAGTGGAAATGAACCAACCCAACAGTAGACTTTTCTAGTACACGTCACCAGTAGCCAAGCGTTGACTAAGGCTCTGCATAGGCCTTTAAGGTAAGTTTAAGCAGTCGTGACAGAAGCAACCCTGAAAGGAGACACACTAGCATACCTGCGTTTCACATGAGATGCCTAGACCCCATATTTCTGTACTATCAGTCACCATGATCTGATGTTTTCCTATAATTAACTCTTGTCCCTGAAGAGTACATCAGCACTACAAATTATTAGGGAGAACAAAACAAAACAAAAAGAGAAAAAAGCCGGGCAGTGGTGGCACACGCCTTTAATCCCAGAACTTGGGAGACAGAGGCCAGCCTGGTCTACAGTGTGAGTTCCAGGACAGCCAGGACTACACAGAGAAATGCTGTCTCAAAAAACAAAACAACAACAACAACAACAAAAACAAACAAACAAAAAGAAAACAAATTATTAGGGGAAATGGGTAAGGTAATCTACCGTAAGGATTCCACATTTCACATGACTATAGTAAACTTAAATCTTTACATCTATGATGCTATTTTCAGTTACATTCCTTGTATGTTGTGAGAATCATTGAAAACTTCTGATCCTCATTAAGAAACTTTGAGAAAAGATTAGACATTTACCAAAGTTTTAGAATCAAATATTCAAGGGGATTAAAAGAAGGTAAAGAGTTGTGCACAGACAAATAAGCAAGAGTACTTCCTGCTTTGCCAAAATTGTTTTCTCACAGAATGGTGTGTAATAGGCAGAGGGGAATAAAATACTTGAAGGCAACTTGATATGCTCTCACTGGCATGGCCGCAGAGAAGGCACTTCAATCAAAGGCAAGGAAAAGCACCAACATTCACATTTGCTACCCGTTCACAAGCATCACATCACCTAGCCCCTATCATTACACTTTACACACGAAGGTGCTAGCCGGAGTGTGAATGAACAAATGTGTTCAGATTATCCCTCACCAGGAAGCAAATTCATGGCTGTCAGTGTAAAATGTCGAGAAGTCATTTCCCTAACAGCCAGATAACAAACAAAAAACAAAGACAGCTGAAGTAGGGAAGAGACAGAAAGCTCAGAGGTAGGAGGGTTAAGTCATGGGGTGTTTCCCAGACTTCTGGTTCATTTAGACTGGGCACCTGTTGGTGGAAGGATAACAAGTCTGGATGAGACAGGTAGAAACTCTGTTACCCCGGGCTACCCTACATATTCTCATGGGCACACCAGCAAAGGGCTGCACGTGACAGGGGAGCATCATGGACACTGGTGTCTTAGAAATGATGTAAACCCTCCTCAGCAGGTCTGGGGTCCATGCTTCAAAGGGCACCTCCTCTCTCTGCACACTTACCATCCTTCCTCTTTTGACACAAAATGGAAATTTTTTGTTTCGTTTTTACTATCTTGAGTTCTGCCTTTTCTTTTTCTGATTAGTTCCCATAACCATATAACTATATAATTGAGGATGACCTTGAATCTCTGAGCACCCTGCTTATGCTTCTGGAGGGCTTGGATGACAGAATGCTCTACCACATCCAGTTTATGCAATGCTGGATGTCTCAGGACTTCATGCATGGTAGGCAAACATTCTACCAACAGTGCTATATCCCCAGCCCTGCTCTTTACACTTTGGTGCTGGGAAATCTGTCTTCAGAAAATATTGTAAGTGTTGATAAAGTCTATAGGTAGGATGTCCTCCTTGTGATGCTACTAACAAACCCAAAGATGTCACCAAAACTTACAAGCCTGAAATAGGATGTGATTGGGCAGACCTCAGAGCAATGTGTGCACAATAATGTAGCTAGCAAGACTATGGAAAACAGAGATCATATGACATGGTAAGTGTCAACTTCAGGGGCTTCAGGATGTCATTGGGTTTGGATATTTTTTGTTGTGGTGGGTTTGGTTTGTTGAGACAGAGTCTCACTAAGCAATACTTGCTGGCCTGAAACTCACTTTGTAGACAAGGCTGGACCTGAACTCACAGACATCTGCTTACCTCTGCCTCCCAAATGCTGGAATTAAAGGTGTATTCCACAATGCTTGGTCAATATTAAGTCTTAAACAGCAGAATAAGAGACTGCAGAGATGACTCAACAGTTGGGAACAAATAGTGTTCTCCCCACTTAGATCTGGTGCTGTCAACACCTCTGGCCTCGTTAAGCACCTGAACTCACATGCACCTGAGTGAAACTGACTGACTTTTCACTAGTATGTTCTAGTTATTTACTTATGTTTTTACAATTAAATGTCAAAAGTACTTAACAGCAATCCTATTTGAAAACCTCAAGAAATAAAAGCTGAGAACTAAAGAACTGGCTCATCAGTCAAGAGCGTTTGCAGGTCTTGCAAGGGGACCTGGGTTTGGTTCCCAACACACACACACATGGCCACTCACAACTGTCTGTAACTCCGATTGCAGGAAATCTGACTCCACCTCCTGGCTTCTGCAGGCACCAGTCATACATGTGGTGTACATACATATAGCATGGAAAACATTCATACAAATAAAATAATGTTTTTGTTTTTGAGTTTTGAGACAGGATTTCACTGTGTAGCTTTGGCTGTCCTGGAGCTCACTCCATAGATCAGGGGGCCTCAAACTCAGATATCTACCTTCCTCTGTGTCCCAAGTGCTGGTATTAAAGGCATGTGCCACCCACCACCCAGTCAGTAAAAATATTCTTTAAAAAAAAAAAGTGTAATCCACATGCCTATAGTCCCAGAACTTGACAGAAGACACTTATTGCTCTGCTATATTGTGGGCTAGAGGCTACCCTGGGCTACATGAGACCCTGTCTCGAAGAAAATAATAAAGCTAGGGCTGGGAATATGGCTCGGTGGTAGATTACTAGCACAGCAATCACAGAGCCCTGGCCTCAGTCTCCAACAGTACAAAAGCGAGCAGTGGTGAACACCTTTAATCCCGGTGCTCAGGAGGCAGAGGTAGGCAATCGCCGTGAGTTCAAGGCCACTTCATCTTCAGCATGAGTTCCAAATCAATCCAGGCTACAGAGATCGCCATCTTAGAGACAACTGAAAAAATAAATCTAACATCCCAGTCTTGTATACAGCCTGTGGGTGAATGATTTTAAAGTTCGTTGTAGTAGGAAGATCATACAAAACTGTAAATCTGCCAAGCCTAGTGGTTCATGCCTATAATCTAGCACAAACAAAACAAAACAAAACAAAAAGACAAAAACAAAACCAACTCACCCAGATATATATCTGTATATCTGTATCTTCTTTTAAGAAGTTACAACTCACATGTTTCTTTTTATTTTAAGATTTATTTTATGTATGAGTACACTGTAGCTGTCTTCAGACACACCAGAAAAGGGCATCAGATCCCACTACAGATGATTATGAGGCACCATGTGGTTGCTGGGAATTGAACTCAGAACCTCTGGAAGAGCAGCCAGTGCTCTTAACCTCTGAGCCATCTCTCCAGCCCTAATGTTTCTTTTTTATAAGATGGCCAAATGAACAAATATTAATCTGTGGTGCCTAATGTTGGTTCTCAATGAGACACACCTGGAAAGAGGGAACCCTAACTGAAGGACTTCCTCATCAGGTTAACCTGTAGATGTGTCTATTGGGCATTCTTTTAATTGCTAATTAATATAGAAGGGCAGAGCTAATTGTGAATGGTACCAACCCTAGATAGGTAGCCCTGGGCTGTATCAGAAACTTAGCTGAGACTAAAGAGATATCTAGAAGGTTAAGAGCACTGGCTGCTCTTCCAGAGAACCTTGGTACAGTTCTCAGCACCCACACAGTGGCTCACAATCATCTGTAACTCCAGTTCCAAGGATTTCACCTCCCTCTTCTGACCTCTGAAGATACTAGACCTGTCCTGTATGTAATATATATATATATATATTACATACATACATACATACATACATACATATGTGGGCAAAACACTCAGACACATAAAAAAAATCTTTTAAAAGAAAAGTAGATGAACGTAAGTCAGAGAGCTAGCCAATAAGCAGTGTTCCTCCATGATTTCTGCTTCAAGCCCCTGCCTTGAGTTGCTGCCCTGAGTTCCACCAATGAAGGATCATGGCCTGAAAGTGTAAAATAAAAAAATTTACCCGCTGCCCACACCCCAAGTTCATGATGTTTATCACGATAACTCACTAGGACGTAGCTGTTCAATAATGAATAAAGCAGAAGCCTAGAAGAACGTGAGGCTGTTTCTCCAACCCATATATACATCTGGTTTTGTTTTATTGGTTGGTTTTGGAGGTCCCCCCCCCCAAGACAGGGTTTCTCTGTATAGCCCTAGCTGTCCTGGAACTCACTCTGTAGACCAGGCTGCCCTTGAACTCAGAAATCTGCCTGTCTCTGCCTCCCAAGTGCTGGGACTAAAGGTGTGTGCCACCACTGCCCGGACAGGTTTTTGGTTTTTTGAAGACAGGATTTCTCAGTGTAACCAGCACTGGTTTCCTGGACTCAATTTGTAGAGCAAGCTGGCCTTGAACTCACAGAGATCTGCCTGCCTCTGCTTCCTGAGTTCTGGGATTAAAGGTGTGTGGCACCATGACCAGCTTACTTTTGTTTTTTAATATTTATTTATAATTGTGTGTGTGTGTGTGTGTGTGTGCTACACACACACACGTGAGCACACAGAGACCAGAGGTATCTATCTGATCCCCTGGAGCTGGAGTCACAGGCAACTATGTAAGCTGCCTAAGGTGGGTGCTGGGAATCAAACTCAGGTCCCTGGAACCTCTGAGCCACCTCTCTAGCCTGTAGGATGTTTTTTGTTTCTTTGGTTGGTTGGTTGGCTTTTGTTTTGTTTTGCTTCCTGACACAAGATCTTGCTATGTAGCTCAAGGTAGCCCTTAAACTCATGCTGTGACCCAGGAAACTCACAGCAAACCTACCTCAGCCTCCAAGAGCACTAGGGTTTGACACTGGCAATTTCTTAGTAGAAAGGTGTTTTCTTTTATTCAGAAGGAAGTATTCATTGATTCATTGATGTCAGAGTTATATTAGAAATGTAGGGTTCTCTTTTTCAGAGGGATAGGGTGTCCTTATGTAACCTAAGCTAGCCCTGAACTAGAAAATCTCCTGCCTCAGGCTTCTAAGTGCTGAAATTACAGATATGCAGATATAGCTAGGATTTGTTTGTTTTTTTTTTCCCTAGATGGAACTCAGGGCCTAGATGTCTTTGCAAGCATTGTGCCACTGAACTACAGGCTCAGCTCATGAGCCAGGAAAGGTCTTTAGTGGCAAATTACAAGGGTGGGTGATGAGCTAAACCTCTCCTTCCTGATAGAGCAAGGTTTTCTTAGTCCCTCAGCCTCATCCACCCTGTTCCAAAGCCTGCATGCTGTGGTTTAGTGGAAGTCATTACAGATAAGCCCTCCTATGCTCTTATGCATTTGAACTAGGCTCAGACAATCAATATATTTGAAAGGTGGGGGGTGGGGGGGAGTCCTTTAATCCTTTCTGACAATGTCACTGAAAAGACAGAAAAGTGCCCAATTCATCAACTTTAATGAAATGGCTAACTAACATAATAACATTAAAAAAAAACTAAAAATTCAATCCTATATGAAAAATACTCAATAAGCAAGAATCAGAGTCATTAGTCCCGAAAGCCGTCTACCTTCAACATCATTACTTACAAACAAATATTCAACAAAAGGGAGCCAAAACCAGGTCACCTACCTGATCGGAGGGATCTCAGCCTCAGTATGCAGCAGGCGCTTATGAGCCTCTAGCGGAGATGAACTTAAGCTCTTTGACAATTCTGGTAAATACGGCATTTTGGAACATTCCTTGGGCTCTTCTAGACCAAATGCTATGGTGTGTTGTGATAAAAAAAAAATCATATAATAATCTTGGTTAAATGCATAATTCTTCTACCACATACAAAGTAACACAAAGCAAATCAGCCAGTAATGAAAGAAGATAAGGTACTTGGCCGTATTGACCACAGGGAGGAGTAGACTTGGAGGGTGGGTAAGAACTGAGACAAGGCATGGGGTATGAGGCCTCAGGCCTGTAATCCCAGTGCTTAAGAAGCTGGGGCCAGAGAACTATAAATTAATGGCCAGTCTGGGATATAAGCAAGTTCAAGGCCAATCTGGGCAATTTTGTGACACTGGATCTGAAAATAAAAAGCTCAGAGGGATTGGAAAGCAGCTCTGAAACAGAGGGATCTCCCAGAATGTTTGAGGCCCTAGATCCCATCCCTGGAACCCACCTCCCCTCCCTGCCAAAGCAAAAGCAAGCACAGCAGCGACATAGGGAGAATGCTGCTGAGTTCCGGGTCTTATTCTGACTTCCCAGAACATTAATTAGCACCATGTTTAGATAAAGTCACTTTCAAGACTCCTGCATTGCTTGCTGCTTGAATCCATCATACATCTGTGTAAATAGTCACAAAGCAGAAATTACACAATCCTCTAAAATCCTACCCTTGGCATTGATTTGAACTTTCTCTCCACAAAATTCAAAGCAAGTCTGTAAACACCAACATGAAGTATCCAGATTGCCTCTGTTGACTTCACATTTTGTCAACTCTTCTTTTGTGGGGGTAGGGGACAGTGCAAGTGTTTGGTTTGGTTTGGTTGTTTGGGGTTTTAATTGAGACAAAGCCTCTATGTAGCTCAAGCTGGACTTGAACTTGCAACAATTTTCCTGCCTCCTAAGAGCTCAATCACAAGTGTAGTCCAGTATGCTTGGCTTCAAGTTGTTTAGATATCTTTTAGTGTCTATGTGTTTGCATGTACGTCTGTGTGTGCACATGTGTCTGTGTGTGAGAATGTGTGTGTGCATATGTGTGTGTGACCATGTGTGTATGTGTCTATATGTGTGTATGTCTGTGAGTGTGCTTGTGTGTGCATGTGTGTCTGTGTGTGAGAATGTGTGTGTGACCATGTGTGTATGTGTCTATATGTGTGTATATCTGTGAATGTGCTTGTGTGTGCATGTGTGTCTGTGTGTGAGAATGTGTGTGTGCATATGTGTGTGTGACCACGTATGTATATGTCTATATGTGTGTATGTCTGTGAGTGTGCTTGTGTGTGCCTGTGTGTGCCTGTGTGTACCTGTGTGTGTGCATGTGAAGCCCACTATTTACTTTGGGTTCCTTTACCAATCTCTTTCACCTCATGTATTCAGGCAGAGCACAGAGTTGTCCAGTTAAGCTAACCAGCTTGTTACCTTTCTCTTCCCACCTATGATGGATTAAGGAGAGCCATCATGCCTACTGACCTTTTCATATGTCCTGCACCTGAACTTGCCTTTAAGTGTTTTACTGGCTGAGTCCTTTCCTCAGCCAGCTGGAGAGAGCCAAGAGGTTTAGAATGCGTGCTGCTCTTCCAAAGAACAGTGGTTTTCCCAGCATCCACACGACAGTGTACATGTGCCTGTGACTGCAGTTCCAGTGGATCACACACCCTTTTCCAGGCTCCATAGGCACTACTTGGTACACATACATACATGCAAGCAAATACTCAGATACATAAAAACAAACACATCTTAAAGAGGAATGCAAACAAAGGCATTAAGTAGAAGGTAGAAAGAGGCTAAAAGCCTCTGAAAGGTGACGTAAGCCTGTAATCTAGCACTTGGAAGGTAGAGGCAGGAAGATCAGGAATTAAAAGGCCAACCTAGACTACAGGATGAATTCAAGGTTAGCCTGAGGTATGCAAAATCCTGTTAGAAAAAAAAAAAAAAGTGAGCCCAGGCTACATGGCAAGTTCCAGGCCAGCCAGGACCACATAGTGAGACTGTCTCAAAACAATTTAAAAATAAGTAATAAACAAAACATAAAACTATAAATCAATACATAAAAATGTGTTTTCATTGCTCACAGAATACTAATCTTAACTCACTCCCATTTCTTCTTTCTATAAACTTCATATACTACTAGTCCAGTATAAATGTGATGAGTTATATAGTATCTCTTGACTGCTTAAAGGAAAAAAGAAATCTGTAAATCCCGGGCACCATGCTTATGTTCCTCCAAGAGAATAAGAATTGACATGGAGTTACCTTTCCTCATCTTCTGCGTTTCCAAAACTGCCTTCCGCCAACTGCTCTCAAACAGAAAGCAGTTGTCCAGGGAGCTTCTGCTGACGTTAGAAGCCTCAAATTTGATCTCGGGAGATAGCATTGACATTTTCTCTTCTTTCAATAGTCCGGATGAGAAGGAGACACTGCTCCAGGGCAGGGAAGAGAAGAACACAGGCATTTCTTGTAAATGTCTTCTCATATCCCCAAGAAGACTAGACATTAACATACATTTACTACAATACAGAAATATGAAATCTTGGAGGTTTATTTTGTTCATTGAAAGTCTCACTATATAGCCCTTGACTATCTTGAGACTTAACTATGTAGAGGAAGGTGGCCTTGAACTCACAGAGATATGCCTACCTCTGCCTTGAAGTGCTAGGACTAAAGGCATGTGCCATCATGCCCGCATATTCTTGAGATTTTAAAGCTAGAGAGTTTTAAGAATAAAATTTATGTCTTAAGCATTTTAATGAACCTTTTCATTTAGTTGGTGTTTTGAGACAAGTGTCTCAAGTAACTTAGGCTAAATAGAACTCTCCAAGGATGGCCTTAGACTTCTGATCCAGAGCTGAGATAACAGAAAGACAACCCCCCCACCTCCCCCAGCACTTTGATATCCCCGAACCCCTTAAGTGCTCTGATGTCATAGGATCTATGGCTAAGGATTGAATACCAAACAAGACCACACTACAAACAACGACCATGACAATAATCTCAAAACCAAACACCAGTGTGAATTTCCAGAGTCTTAAAAAAGACTCTTAATTAGCCAGGCATGGTAGTACACACCTTCAGTCCCAGCACTGAGGAGAGAGACTGGCTGAGCTCTGTGAGTTCAAGGCTAGCCTGGGCCACACAGTGAGTTCCTGGACAGCTAGAAAGACAAAGTGAGATCTTGGCTCAGGAAAAAAAAAAAAAAAAAGAAAAAAAAAAAGAAGAAGAAGACTCTTAGAATCACAATCCAGACTCCATTCTAAGAACTTCTTTTATCTACAGAAGTAGAGATGACTGGATAACTTTCAGCTTCAAGCTAGCCTTTCAACGCCCCAGGACAGGAGTGGCAGAGACAACACTGCTTGCTGGTGAGCATGGGAGGACGAGGACACACAAATGAACTTCTGAACACCTCAGACTACACGTCTTCCTCAAGCATTTTGTCCTGCTAGGTCAGAAAACAATGTTCTTAAAGCTGGATTTTCCTAGGACATCCATACAATAAATACATGAAGACTCATTATACTATAACCTTTAGATTTATGTCTATTCTTGAAATTCCTGATGATAAAAGTTTGTTTAAAAGTCCACATTTGAGAGCCAGGCATTGTAGTGAATATCTTTAATCTCAGCACTCGGGAGACAGACACAAGCTGATAAGTTCAAAGGCATCCTAGTCTACATAATACATTCTCAGAGAGCCAAGGCTACAGAGAGAGACTCTATCCATATGACGTATGCTGTAATCCCAGCACTAGAATGGAGGTAGGAGAATGAGAACTTCATGAACATTCACGGCTACGCAGCAAGTTTGAGGGCCAGCCTGGGCTCTACGAGACTGTCTAGAAAAGGTTTTGTTTTGTTTGTTTGTTTGTTTGTTTGTTTTTTGGATAAAGAAAGAAAAGGAAATTTAAAAGGACAAATTAGCCAGGCGGTGGCACACGACTTTAATCCTGGCACTTGGGAGGCAGAGGCAGTCGGATTTCTGAGTTCAAGGCCAGCCTGGTCTACAGTGAGTTCCAGGACAGCCAGGGCTATACAGAAAAACCCTGCCTCGAAAAACAAAAACAAAAAAATACAAATTAAAAAATAATACTCTGCATTTGTAAGTTGCATTTACAACTTCAGGAATGCATTGATATGATAAAAACCAACAACTACTAAGGCTTGAAGATACACTCCTTTAATCTCAGCACTTCTGAAGAAGACACAGGGTCAGCCTGGTCTACAGAGTTCCAGAACAGTCAGGGCTACACAGAGAAACCCTGTCTCAAAAAATCCAAGGGGGCCTGGGGGCTAACAAAAATGCATGTTCCACACACATGTGGAGGGCAGAGAACACCTGGTGGGAGGTGACTCTCTCTTTCCACTTTGTGGGTCTCCAGCTTCAGATTTAAGTCATCAGGCACTTTTACCTGCTAAGCCATCTCATTGCCCCCAAACCACCCAATCCTAACATTTCTGTACATGTCTCTTGTTTCTTTATTCACTGTTAGCCCAGTAAAGTCAATCCCAAAGCCCTGCCAATAGTTCTATTTAAGCTCATGGAAGAATTCCTGATATGCATGCTAAGTTTCCGTTGTCTATTGTATTATAATATCTTGTTTTTCATCTCTATCAGTTTATATCTTCCTTTGGCTGGCTGGGCTAAGGGTTCCTCAGTCTTGTTAGCCTTACTCACAGAGCCAGCTCCTTGTCTTATTGGCTCTTCACATTGGTCTTCTGACCTCTGTTGCCCTGATTGCAACTCTTCCTTTTTACTCTACTGGGTTTTGCTTTGTTCTTGGTTTTCTAAGACCCTGAGATGCATCGCCAGGCTGTCTGAGAACTCTCTGGGTTTTTGAACATAAGAACTCATAGCTATCTATACATTTTTCAGAACTGCTTTTGCTATATTTCACATATGCTAATAGATTGTATCTACATTTTAAACTTGATTCTTGAAGCTTTTAAACATCTCTCCCTGTATCTCCAGTGCTCTACTCACAATACCAAAAAGCCACTGTTCATTGTCTACATGCCCTGTATTTTCGCACTTTTTTTTTTTGGTTCTTCGAGACAGGGTTTCTCTGTATAGCCCTGGCTGTCCTGGAACTCACTCTGTAGACCAGGCTGGCCTTGAACTCAGAAATCCGCCTGCCTCTGCCTCTGCCTCCCAAGTGCTAGGATTAAAGGCGTGCGCCACCACAGCCCAGCTCTTTTTTTTTTTTTTTTTTAAATACAAGGTCATCTTACTACTTAGCCCAGGATGGTCACAAACTCATAAACCTCTTACTTATCCTCTCAGGTACTGAGGTGACAGGCATGTACTGACATGGCCTGTTAAAATAGTTCACTGAGAATGGGGCTGATGAGTTGGATGTTGAAGTTCTGACAAGGAAGGGGGACTTAATGGTGACTGTGGCTGTGAACCTGACCAAGGTGAGCAATACATAAGAGTTCAAAGAGACTGAGCTAGTGCATAGATTGACGGGTGATGAGGAACACCGTCTTACATAAAGCAAGTGTAGAAAGGCATCAGTGGACAGACACAATCCAGAACCAAGCAGTAGAAGCTGTGGGTAACTGCTCTGGGGATAAAAAGTTAAGAACTACCTATTTTCAGATGAGAATTAAGGCCAGAAACTTTATTAAAATTGGCAAGGGGGATTTGAGAAAGAGAAGAAAGCCAGAATATGCTTTAATATCTTCTGGGTATAAAGATGAAGAAAGGGCAAAGGATTAGGGTCTATAGAGACAGTCAACCCAGAATGAAGGCAAGGGACCAAATCTAAGTGTACAAGAGGTAGTAGCTCAGGCTGGAGAGATGGCTCAGTAGTTAAGAGCACTGGCTGCTCTTCCAGAGGTCCTGAGTTCAATTTCCAGCAGCCACATGGTGCCTCACAACCATCTGTAAAGGAATCTGATGCCTTCTTCTGGTATGCAGGTATACACGCAGATAGAGCACTCATATTCATAAAATAAATAAATAAATCTTTAAAAAAGAAATGCTCAAACTCCTATGAAATGATTGCCAGCCAATGGCTCAATGAGGCTTCAAACCCTACAAAGACAAGCTCTAGAGTAAAGTGATTTTAGTCTTGACTTTGCCCTCTGATAGTTACATAGGCCTAGGGCTTCCGACTCTCATAAGTGAACAAAGTCTGAATTTTTAAAACACTTTTAAGTGTCCAGTGATGAGAAGCATGTAAAAGCACTCTACAAACAGAAGCCATAATTTATTTTTGAATAATAAACATGTTTCTCTCACCACAGTCTGCTGATGAAAAGGTAACTCAAACCCTGCATAATGGTGCTCTTATAGTTGGGAAGTAACGGGGAGAGGGTCAGTTCAAGCTACATAGTGAGTTTATGGCTACCCTGGACTACATGAGACTGTCTCACAACCCTGCCCCCAAAAGAAAACACAAATCAATACAACAATCAAAAGCAATTTTTCTGTCAAAAATACACCTCTCCCCAAGGTTCTGTTTTTCCTGTATAAAGTGGGGAGGGGGCTGGGATCACCTTGCCACAGCATCCATGTGCAAGTCAGAGGGCAACCCTGTGGAATTGGTTCTCTTTCCTTCTCTATGTGAGTTCTGGATTTGAAGCCAAGATATCTGTGCTGCAAATGCCCAGCCTTCGCTAGCTGAGCCATTTCCCAGCCCCTATCCCCAACCCAGCAGTTCTGTTTCAAGGGATTTATTCCACAGAACCGTTTCTTTGTTTCTTTGTGTAAGAATGTTCATTATTGCGAGCTGCAATAGTGATCGGGATGTAAAGTGAATAATTTTTTTTTAAAAAATGTTCATTGTTATGAAATACTTGTAAAATGAAAAACCTGGACCCAATATCAATTAGAACTGTATAGGTTATACCACCCGTGGCCAAAATAACAGGAAAAATTTGTGGAAGAAAGAAAATACCGGATGTACTTAAAAGTACAGGAAGTAGGTAGAAAATAAGCCTGTGTCTCAGGGATGGGTCAGTGAAATGCACCAAAATGTAATTTCAAAAACACAGAGAATGGTTTTTAAAGGGTAACAACAAAAGTTTTACGAAACATTATTCGAACATTTAATTAATAGGGATTACGTATGCACACTGACAGACAAACAATCTAAGACCTGAGATTGTTTTGTTTCAAGGAACATAATAGCCTAAGACGGCTTGCCAAGTTGCTTGCATTTGTCCCTATGGTTTCCCAGGCGTTTATGACTCCAAAGGGGCTAGATGATCAGTATGGATGACATGAAACAGTCTACGTGACCAACACAATTATTTCCTCGTTCCTCTAGATTATAATAAAAATAAAAAATATGCCCACAAATATAAGCACATCAGAAATGATACAAAACAGAATTGGCGATGTAGGGAGTTCTGATCCAGCTGGAGACAGCTGGAGAA